GTTTTACATTCCCACCTGTTTCTCTATGTCCTCGCCAACCTTTGGTAGGGTCAGCCTTTTTTATTATAGTCAGGAAATCATTTGTTGGCAATAGAAAATGGAACCTCTATGAACCTTATTTATGAAGAAAGGGATGGTATTACTTTCCTCTCTGTCTTACAGGATTGCTCTAAAGATCAAAGGAGATGGGAATTTATGTACAAGTGCTTTGTATTGCAAAAATGTTACTGGTGATTATGTGCAAAAAAAATTTTTAGCTGTGAAATTTAACACCCACGTTTCCATCTCTGAGAATAAGATGATAGCTTGTCCAAGTTTTAATATAATGTGTATGTTTTGATCAAACGTGTTCCACCTGCTTATAAAGGCAATTTTTAATCAAATCGTGAGCTTTCTCCATATGTTAGGTTGCCTATATTGTGTATTAAATTATCAGCCTTATTTAACAATGACAGAATATAATGGTTTGCATATGGTGGGTAAACTTTTCTTTCCCTCTCAAACTTGGATGGTCTGGTAAATGTCTGCCTGTGATTTGTGTTCAGATGCCTGTGGGTGGCCTCTTTTGGACCTGGGCACATGTGTTCTATTCTAATGGAATGGGAGTAGAAAGATTGGGGGGGGGGCTCAGAGAAACCGCCGAGGACAATCTATGTAAAAATATCCATGTCAGCGGTTTTATTTTGCAATTCTGATTCTATGAAAATTGCCAGTTTATACTTTTTCAAAGAACAAAGGAAGTGTTTTGAATGTATTTCCCTTCTTACCTGTAGAAGACAGCTGATTATTACAGATCTAAGAAAACTGGCCCGTGGCCTCTAGATTTGAAATCAGGGCTGAATTTTGTAAAACTCGCTTATCAGCAGCTCTTCACACCTGTTGGAAAAGACCTTTGGACTACAGAAGCTGGACTGTGTGTTTGATCATGCAGCACTGTGTCAACAAAGGGCTTTGTAGTACTTTCCAAAGAGAAGGCCAAGAGAGCCCCAACTAGACGCTAAGCCAGTCAAAGAAACTGCATGCTGGAGTGAAAATATGCTCTGGGTGGCCTCTGGAAGTTGGGAGGTTCATATTAATCCTGGTGACAATTCATATTAATTTGGTAATGTTGCATAATCCTAATTTCATTTTTATTAAACAGTTTTAATAAATTGGGAAACAGGTACTTGAAATCCTTTGTTTGTCTGTTTCTTTTTATTTTATTTATTTTTAAATTTCAGAATATTATGGCAGTACAAGCATTTTGGTTACATATATTGCTTTTGCACTTCCCAAACCAAAGCTACAAGCATGCCCATCCCCCAGACGGCACACTCCACATTCATTGGTTGTGCATTAATTTACCCATCCCCTCCACCCTCCTCCCACCTGCCTGTGACCCGATGAAAATTACTTCCATGTGTGCACCTAAGTGTTGATCAGTTAGTACCAATTTGATGGTGAGTACATGTGGTGCTTGGTTTTCATTCTTGTGATACTTCACTTAGTAGAATGGGCTGCATCTCCATCCAGGATAATACAAGGGGTGCTAGTTCACCATTGTTTTTCGTGGCTGAGTAGTACTCCATGGTATACATACAACACATTTTATTACTCCACTCACATATTGATGGGCACTTGGGTTATTTCCACATCTCTGCAATTGTGAATTGTGCTGCTATAAACATTCAAGTGCAGATGTCTTTATTATAGAATGACTTTTCTTTCCTTTGGGTAGATGCCTAGTAGTGGGATTGCTGGATCAAATGGTAGTTCTATTTTTAGTTCTTTGGGGTATCTCCATATTACTTTCCTTAGAGGTTGTACTAGTTTGCAGTCCCACCAGCAGTGTAAGAATGTTCTTATCAAAATCCTTTTTGATGAAAATGACAGGGGTGTTGATAGTGGAAGAACAGAAAGCTTTGGGCTCAGGATTCTGGAGTGGAGGTGCACTGGGAATTTTTTTTTTCTGATTTTAACCTAATGAGTAAAAATTCTCACCTTATATGGCTTTGAAAATATTCATTTGAAAATATTCATTGTGTGTGTGCCCGTGTTATGTTTGGAGGTACATATTTCAAAGCTTTCAAATGTTGCAGTCTGATAAGTGAATTAACCACTTTGGTACAAGCGTAGACGATAGTCGATGGCCACAGATGAACACACATAGCGACTTTAGCCGACAGCCGTGGTATGACTTTTCTAATCTTTCATTTATCAAAATAAAATTGTGAACATTTAAAAAATAATGTAATGAAAACATATAACATATATGTATATGTTACCTAGTCTGATTTACATTACAAGTAAAGTTGCCTGTAAAGTAAAACAAGCTTTCAGTGCTTTAAAGCTTTCCTCATCACACAAGAGGAAAACGGACTCGTCGTCAATGCACAGCACAAACTATCGTGTGGACTGTGAGTGCCGGCCGTGGGCAAGGTTTCACGGCCAGTGAGCGCCGTACCGAAATGGTTAAAAAGAAGATGAAAAAAGTCATTAGGCACCCGGAAGTCTTTTTCTAGAGCATTACAAATAATGTGGTTTGGGTATGGAATTATATTTGAGAGACCAATCTTGGCGGATGCCTGAAGTCGATGTTCTTTTTGGAAGCAGCTGTTTGCTAATAAAGAAATCAGGACTGACGGGCTGTTTTAAGTGTCACTCTTTCCATGTGCCACCGGCATCTCTTCCCAAAGTGGGAGTCAGAGGGATCGTGTTGGACTTGTGTAGAAAGGGAACTTGGCCCCTGGTGGTGTTGATGTGTGTTCTTTAAATAGGCGGCTTCAGCATTTATATAGAACACTTCATATTTATCTTTGATGCTGTTTTCCACTTTGGGGACATGGTTGAAGAACTATGGATGGGGTCAACAAGTTGAAATCGCCATGATGTGGGGGAAATGAGTGCACGTGGAGAGGGCCTTGTATAGGGTTTTGTCATGGGGCTGCTCGGCGAGCTGTGGAACCTGCAGGGAAGTTACATGAGTTGCTCAGGGGAGAGGGGTCTGTTCCATTTCAGTCTTGGGGTCTCCAGCCACCTTGATCTTAGAAATGCTTGTAGGACCTCCTTCTGGGGCCACAGCGTCTAGCTGGCTGGCCCCAAGTGCTTTCATGCAACTCAGGGTCGACTTACTAGGGATTCCCAAGCAGCAAGGGGGGACAACCAGCGCTGGAAGCCCTGGCTGGTGGATTTGAGGGAGTAACTGGCACTGACGGAGTAACTTTTAAGTCACATTTTTATATCATCTTAAATTGTCCCTCCTGGGGGGATGATAGGGAGCAAATTCATGATGTGTGTGTGATAACTGGCCATTTAAAGTGACCTCTGTGTTGTTAGATTTTAATTGTTGACTGATTTATGAATGCATTTATTTATGAATTATCTCCAGGAGACAAATAGAGTCAGCATGATGTGTAGAAAGAATGTGGGATTAGGAATCGTAGAGACCTGCCCACCTCACTGCCTGTGGGGCGTTGGGCAAGGCTAAGCTCTGAGCTTCAGTTTCCTCATGGAGGTGGGGTGTTCCTGTCTTAGTGAAGGTTAGTGTTCAATAGAATGTCACTGAGGCTCTTAACACACGAGTGTGATACATCCTGGGAGCTCATTTTACTGGAAGCTACTATTTTTGCTGTTGATCAACACAGTGGAAAGTCCCATAAAGTGATGGGTTTACTCATATGTTATTTCTCACCTGCCACTCTATGTCAAGAGTGCAGTGGTAGACTTTTCAACTAGAAATGGAACATAACATAACCATTACATTTCAAATCTTTCACTCATTTCAAATGAAAATGGAAATAAAACAGGAATAAATGAAATGAAGTTGAAAATTATAAAAAAATGAGTTCAATTGAAATGCCATTTCAAGTGATAATTTTGTTATAATACAGCCATATCAATACACTGATTCATGAGGATATGCTCAGTTAGGGTCCTTTTTGTTGGAGTTGATGAAATTGTGCAGAGCAGAAGTAGTTTAATGAGATACTAAAGCTCGGTGTTGCATTCCATCGTATGGGTATACGTCAGGTGTCTCAAAGGTAATTCTTGATAATTCAAATGACCAGTGAACACCCTGCAATTTCTTCAAACTTTATCACTTGTCTTTGGAAACAAATGGTTTCGTTCTATGAAGCCAAAGAAAGAGGAAATTGAGCATCGAAAAGCTAAATATTATGATATCTCACTGTTCAGTGAAGAAGTGGAAAATGGAAATAGAATCAATGCCAAAAAAATATGCCCAGGGTTAAAACAGTGCAATCTCGAAATTGAAATTATATTTTTCGGGCTATAGTCCTAAATTTGGAAGGTCGTTAGGTGTCTGGCATAATCAATCCTAGCACAGCTCACTCATATTGGCAGACAGAATTCTGATATTTATTTAGAAACTTTAGTCTCTCTTTTGGAGATTCCAGTAGCCGTGTGGATTTTGGTACAGTAGGATGTCAGTGGACTTGATCTAATGTCCACCAGGTAGGCAAGTGTATGGGGCTTTGACCTGGGAGGATAGGAGCCACCAGGTCCCAAACAGTTCTCAAAGAGGGTGACACTGTGCAGAGATCTGGTTAGACTTGTGGCTTCTGGAGCCCACCTGCCTATTCACCTTCAAGTTCTTGCCCAGTCTTGGTGATATTGGGCAAGTTACTTTACCTCTGGGCCTCTGCTTCTCCATCTGTAAAATGGGAGTGATAATAGTGCCTGCCTTATTATCTCAAATGAGTGATCCACTTAAAATGGTTACATAGCAGGAACACAGGGGCTACTATCTTCTTAGTCCTGCCTTTGCTTTCTCTGTCTGGTGGGGCTCTCTCTGTGTCACCCTTGTGGATAGTAAATAAAGGCTGTGGATGATGCTTCCCGAAGATTTGTTCTTTGTTTCTTTGAGAGAGACATTTGCTTCTCAAAATGTTTTTTTTTTTTAAAAAAAAAGGAATGTAGGAGTCATGATAATTTTGAGGGTGGTGTGTTGCCACAGAATGCAATCCAAACTCATAGTGAAATCTTGTTTGTTTTGTTTACAGGGAACACGGGTCTGGCTGAGAGAAAATGGCCAGCATTTTCCAAGTACTGTAAATTCCTGTGCAGAAGGCGTCGTCGTCTTCCGGACGGACTATGGTCAGGTGAGAGCAAGTCCCTGCAGCTTCCTGACATCCGTGCTCTGCCTTGTAGATGGTCTTACCCAAGGGCACACGTGCTTGCCCACCCCACCCCCAAACACCTTAAGTCGTGTTTCTAAGTGATAAATCACAATCCCAGTGGGAACGTAGGACGCACATGTTGTGAGTGTGAGATGGATACAATGCAGTTCTCCCAAGTGGAGCACAGCAAGGGCTCCAGCCAGTAGGGACAGAAGAGCACACACCAGCCTGGTTTCCTCCCTGGGTATCTTTTCCACCTTCTTGCACCTTTTTCAAGAATCAGAAGTGTAGGATGCAAGTCATTTGCGAAAAAGTTCAAATATATTGATAATTGCCAATCGGTTACCTTATCACTTTCTTTTTTATTTTTTGAGGCAGAGTCTCACTTTGTTGCCCAGGCTAGAGCCAGTGCCGTGGCATCAGCCTAGCTCACAGCAACCTCAAACTCCTGGGCTCAAGCAATCCTTCTGCCTCAGCCTCCCAAGTAGCTGGGACTACAGGCATGCATCACCATGCTAATTTTTTCTATATATATTAGTTGGCCAATGAATTTCTTTCTATTTATAGTAGAGACGAGGTCTCTCTTGCTCAGGCTGGTTTCAAACTCCTGACCTCGAGCAATCCACCCACCTCGGCCTCCCAGAGTGCTAGGGTTATACCTTATCACTTTCTTTTAAAATTCTTAAACTTCCATAGTGCCTTAGTCAGTGCCTTAGTCCGGAATACCATAAACTGCGTGGCTTGTAAACAGCAAACATTTATTTCTCACAGTTCTAGAGGCTGGGAAGTCCAAGATCAAGGCACTGGCAGTGTGGTGGCTGGTGAGGGCCCGGCTTCCTGGTTCACAGACAGCCAACTTCTCGCCGTTCCCTCACGTGTGACAGAAGGGGCCAGGGAGCTTTTCCGGGCCTCTTTTATAAAAGCACCAGTCCCATTTGTGAGGGCTTCATCTTCACGACCTAATCACCTCCCAAAGGCCCCCCCCTACCTTTTAATACCGTTGCATAGGGGATTAGGATTTCAACGCAGGAATTTTACGGAGGACACAAACACTCAGTCCATCACACAGAATTTTGGAAATACTGGCATGCCAGTGGACTTTAGGGTGGTGGCATCCTGATCACTGTCACAACAAGACTGACTCACCCAGTTAAGCTGAGCTCAGCTATATGCCCTGCTGAGCAGCTGAGGAAGTGTCTTCTGTATGGGAAGGACACTGCTCCTGTTCCCACTCTTCTGTGTAAAACGAATGAAGACCCATTTCCCTGAAAATAAACGTGAAGGGAACACAGTATATAACAATAAAATAAAAGGGAACACAATATATAATGGTATAATTCATGTAACAAAATTGTGTTCCCCAAAGCATTGTAAAATAGATTTTTAAATGGAATTCTTTTCCTTTCTTGTTGAATTATATAATATTTTAGTCCCAGAGCCTTTCCTCTTACTCTTTTAACTTTGCTTTTAAAAAAATTTTCTTTGTAAAAAACATACAACATTAACTTTACCATCTTGACCATTTTTAAGCGTATAGTTCCCATTGTTGTGCAGCGGATCTCCAGAACTTTCTCATCTTGCAGCACTGAAATTCTGTGCCCACTAAACACTAATTCCCTCTGCCCTCTGCAATTCTTTCCATTTCTATGATTTTAATTCCTTTAGATACTTCATATGGGTGGCGTTATACAGGATTTGGCCTTGTGTCCTTGTGTCCTTTAGGGTTTCTATTTCTGTCTAAGCCTTGGTTGGCAGAGGTTCCTAATGCAACGACTCCACCAGTCCCTAAGTGCAACTGCCTTTTCCTCTCGGTCAGCCACCTGCGCCACGTGAAGCCCTCGCTGGCCACGGTCGATGGGACCTCTCAGTGAGGTTGGAGTGGAATGGGATGGCTAGGTCAGCAGTTCTGCTCATTTTCAACAGTATTATATATATAGGTTGTGGCTTTGGGAAGAACTAAACCGGAATAACATGTACTTGAAAAACAGCACTGAACCTTGACCTCTAATCTTCAGTTGGTCATCCAATACTTGGTTTTATGTTGTCCACTCTGTCATTTCCAAACATAACAAGTATAATCAGCCTGGTGATTCGTGTAGGAATTACAGGGTTTACAGAGGGAAAATGAGGCCAGATTTTAAAAATTGGGGTCAAGCTTGGATCAAGAACTGGCACTGGCCAAAATACCCTAGTTTCTTTTTCTACTGACCTGCATAGTCCTTCCCTACTTACCTCACACGCTCACTGTAGAACATACAGAATGAGGAGAAGTTCAACAGCTGGTCCTGGTGCCTGGGACAGGAACACCTGTGCTTTAACTGGGCGAGAGTCTTGAGGGAATCGGGGTCAAAGATTTAGGGCATGGCCTTGTTCTCTGATCAAGCCCATCTTTGGTTACTTTTTGAAATATTGGTTAATTTTGACTCAGTTTGGTATATTATTAAAGGATGTTAAGATACTAGTATTTCTGGAGGAAGGGGCGAATGGCAAGTTAGTATTTAATGGGTACAGAGTTTCAGTTTGGAAGATGAAAAATCTCTGACGATGGTATTGATGGCTGTACAAAAGTGTGATTGTACTTGATGCCACTAAACTGTGCACCGAAACATGCTTAACCTGATACATTTTTATGTTAGTATATGTATTTTTTTACCTCCTTCCGCCTCCCACAGACTCACTATAGGATGTCAGTCAGGGTTTGAGGTCAAATGGTAACTGGCAGAAATTGTCAAATGGCTATTTGTGTCTTTAAAAACAATTTCTGTGAAGTTTTTACATTACCCAAATATGACCTCTTAGATTCCATAACGAGTTTACAAAACTATTAGTGTAATTTTCCTTTGATTTAGAGCAGTGCGTCTGAAATGTTAGTGCGCATGAATCACCCGGGGAACTTGTTAAGGTGCAGATTCTGACAGGCAGGTTGAGGTTCGGCTGGAGGGTCTGCATTTTTCACAAGCTCTTAGTGGCATTGATGTGCCTGGATAAACCACACTGGAGTAGTGGGGATTTAGAAGATATTCCTGGAAAATGCCTTAGGGTCATGGCCACCTAAAGTGAAGAGCAGGAAGCACTCAATCCCTTTATACATCACCAGCACTTCTGCTTTGCCGAAGCAAAGATAACCACAAGGAGGAGGGCTTTGGGCAAAGTTTGAAAGTTTTTTTCTGACCTTTCGAAGCTTTTCTTCTCTTTCCCATTGTCTGTGCCCTCCCTGCCAGTGACCGTTTCATCTCGAGTGTGACCAGGGGTTGGACTAACTGCAATATAATAATTCTCAGGTGCATTAAAGAGCAGTTTAAAAAAATCCTCTTGGTGCTGGGCACAGTGGCTCATGCCTGTAATCCTAGCACTCTGGGAAGCCGAGGCGGGAGGATCGCTTGAGCTCAGGAGATTGATATCAGCCTGAGCAAGAGGGAGACCCCATCTCTACTATAAGTAGAAAGAAATTAGCCAAACAACTAAAAATAGAAAAACTTAGCCGGGCATGGTGGCGCATGCCTGTAGTCCCAGCTACTCAGGAGGCTGAGGCAGGAGGATCGCTTGAGCCCAGGAGTTTGAGGTTGCTGTGAGCTAGGCTGATGCCACGGCACTCTAGCCCAGGCAAGAGAGTGAGACTCTGTCTCAAATAAAAAAAAGAAAGAAAAAAAATCCTTTTTAGAGTTAGAGGTCCAGCAGAGCTATGCAGAACTAAAATCCTGAAGTATAAGGGGATTTGCAGGGATACCAGGTAGGCAGGAGATAATAGTGTTTTGCTTTGTTTTGCATGAGATCACAAAAGGGCACACTTTTTTATTTCATTCAGTCTTGTAGGAGAATTTTACACATCCACATCCAATTAAGTTTTAATGTTAATTTAAAATTTTATTCTTCTCTGAAATTGAAATTTCTGTAGGTAATCCGAAGGCCACAGCACACAGGCAGGTCAGCACATGTCCTGCAAGTTAGAGATTAGTTGTCTTCTTGGACAACACCCTTTGGACAGAGTTTTAGAAGAGCAGATTTTTTTTTTTTTTTTTTTGAGACAGAGTCTTGCTTTGTTGCCAGGCAGTGCCGTGGCGTCAGGCTAGCTCACTGCAACCTCAAACTCCTGGGCTCAGGCAATCCTCCTGCCTCAGCCTCCTGAGTAGCTGGGACTACAAGCATGTGCCACCATACCCGGCTAATTTTTTCTATATATATTAGTTGGACAATTAATTTCTTTCTATTTATAGTAGAGATGGGGTCTCGCTCTTGCTCAGGCAGGTTTCGAACTCCTGACCTCGAGCGATCCACTCGCCTTGGCCTCCCAGAGTGCTAGGATTACAGGCATAAGCCACCATGCCTGGGTGAAGAGCAGATTTTTTAAAAGCACCATACATAGTTCTGCTGGGTGCAGAAACAGCCGACAGATCAACTCTTGTGAAAGGGAAGAGGGAAGATAGCACCGAACTTTTTGTCTTTTCCGAAACACTCAGGAGGTGCACGAACAATCACTGTAGCACCCTTTAAGAACTTTGTAGAATTGAGTAATAAGTTCTACATTAGACTTTTCACGTTGAGAGTGTGAACTATTTTATTATCCTTTTCTGGAAAGAGTCTAATTTGATTGCTCTGAAACAGCCTCAGAATGATATCAATTTACCTAATTGTATTTTAAGGAGTGGTTATTCAATTTACCACAGTACATTTAATCAAGGCGATTACAGCATACAATGGTTCCATTTGGTTTTTTGTTTGACTTTTCTCTATATGGGGTCTTCCAAAATATTTACTGGTTGGGAATTTAATCGTCCTTCTCCATGCCCTTCTCTTTTTTATTTGCAACGAGTACAACTAAACTTAGCTTTAAAAGTTCTTTTCATTTTATTAATTCACAAAAAGGCCATTGGATTGCCCCGTTCTTTCAACTTGTCCCCGTCCCCTAAGAAAGTCAGATATTTTCAAGCCACACGGGAACACAGTCCTAGTTACTTAGTCACATCTCCTGCTTAGAGCCATCT